CCAGGCTTTCAAATATCAAAGAACTCTTACAACAAGAGTGAATCACAATCTTACATAAGTTCAAATTACACCTTGCTATTAAATGGAATACTGTACAAACCTCATACTTTGATGAAACCATTCAAGGACCAACTCATGACCCAGTACAGTGGAATAACACAAGCAATGGGTTAACAGAAGTGGGATGAGTAGAAAAAGAATGAACACTCATGTTTTACCAATTGGAACATGAACATGTAACCTCAGGAGCACTCAAAATCATGAACTGGGTGGAAGGATCATACCCATTCATTACTTATAATGGTTGAGAGATTAGCAAAACATTGCATTTCCAAAATGGAGAAGTTTCTCTTCCTCACCCCATCTGATTAATTTGCACCAGTGTCAAAATTGCTGTTATTTGCAGTCAGGATAGATTAAAACCACACAAATATACAGAAGTTATTTTTCAAATGCACCAAGATTGGCACCAAAATGATGGACTCCTAAATGTGTTGTGACAACATTATCTACATAAGCAAACAGTCGACATACTGCACAAACCAACTGAGAGGTAATAAAGCTTTAGCATGTGAAACAGGGATCCTAGTTTCACAATTAAAAAAGCAAACAGATTTTTCAAAAATGCTCTTTCTCCAATTTTCTGTTCTATTCTCAACATAGGAACAGAAGGCCATTCAGCCTCTTAAGCCTGCTCCACTATTTAATAAGATCATGGCTGATATGCAGCCTAACTCTGTATGCCTGCCTCAAACCCATCTCCCTTGATATCCTTGCTTAATAGAAGATTGTCTCAGATTTAAATCTAAACTGAATCAGCAATCAGCATTTGAGGAAGAGTTCCAAACCCCCTCTACTCTGTGTAGAAGTGCTTTCTAACATCTCTCTTGAATGGCCTAGTCCTAATTCTTAGACTATGTCCCCTCCCTGATTCTAGAGTCTTCGAATGCAGTTGTGCACAAAATTTTAATTCAGACTACTGTCAAGCTTACACCAGCTAGATGTTTAATACTATTGTAAGTACTTACAGACATTGTATTGAGAGAGAATTCACCTCCATTCAAAATTTGAATGACAATCTTAATTCTATTTCTTCATTCTATAACAAAAGAAGTCACTAAGTTAACATTTTCTTATGTCATTTTAATATTAATCCATTAATTAATTCTCTACCCAAGCATAAAATTCTATTTCAGCACAAAGTTTGAATAAGTCAGCAGGAAGCTAATACGTTTTCTATAGTCCTTGTTTTCCAAACATCATTTAGCAAATCCAAAAAAATTCAAGCATAGTATTTCCACAATTGATAAATTTGGGCATATTTACAAGTATAATTCATTATGAATGATTGAACACTAAATGGGTACTTTCCAATTTGAGAGATGAATTAAGAATCAACACAATCTGTTACGTTTCCAAATTATGTGGAGACTGCAGATATTCCAAATCCCAAGAGATCCGCCATTCCACCTTCCTGGAGAAATTAGCGAACCAGAACTGTTATATTTGTCACTGAATTTTTTTCTGCAATTATGGTACTAAATTAAATACAAAGGGCAAAAATAAAATTGGGAGTTGTTGCTTGTGGTATGCTGGGTCCCAGAGTGAAATCAGAGGACCTTGCAAATCCCCAGTTTAGAAATGTACATTGTACAGTATTGAGAATAACTCGTTAGGAAGAACTGGGACATCGATAGAATTGCTGAAAGCACAATTCCTCTTCCTTGCACTTATCAGTTGACCTTATTGCTAAGTTTGGCAAGTTAAGGTCTAGGATATTAAGTAGACATTATCACATCAATAGCCCTTCATTGATCTTTTCAACCAATGGCAACAAGGCAACTTGATCTGGGCGCATTTTACAAAATACAAGGATTGTAGCTCGCTTGAACTGATTTTAAAAATATCAATCTGCACGTTAAGGAGACCAAGGAGGAAATTCACTCAAGTTTATTCCAATTGCACTGCCAGAACATTTATCACAGATCAGCTTAACAAAATGGGAAAGTGGACACTGTACGAGAGCAAAATGAGTTACCTCAAGGCTATGATTATGTCCACTGACGCATTAGCCATAACCAGCTGAAGTTTCTTTGCAGGAGGAACACGTCATTCTTCAATGTCACTACCTTCAGCAAAGCTAGCAAAAATCTTGATATTGTAAAGTATATGAAATCTTTGACAGGCAGGTAATATGGGCTGATATCTTAATTCTGTAACTGTTGCACAAGTTTTGAATATTAAAGGACAAAACAACTAAGTAGGATGCACTTTCAGAAATAGTCTGAGAAGAGGTTTTACTTAAGTGGCTGGTGTAATGACATTTGGGTAGAGAGAAAGAGAGGAAACAGAAGAACTTGCATTCCACACAAATTCTTTAAGAAAAGCTGACTTTGGGGTTGTAACTTAATCACTGACCCAATTCCATTCACAACCAAATTCTAAGATACTGGAATTTCATTTGACCTCTTTGGAATTTACATGGACAGTTAAGTAAATCAGCGATGTTGCAATTCTAGTAAACCAACTTTCCCTACTGAAAGAAGCATGGCAGATTCAACACAAAATTCCATTTTCAAATAATTAGGTATTTACGAAGTAAATATTGACTGCTTGCTGCATCTGTACATTCAGTAATTTATAAAAGAAACTTAAAACTGTGTCTCACCACTTAAATCTTTTGTATTTCTTTTCCTACCAAAGTGGATAATCTCTCATTTTTCCCCACTTTGTACTCCACTTGCCAAATTTTATCCACTTAGCCTCCAAACTTATTAATCCCACTCCCACCTACTTGTATGTCATCTGCAAACTTGGAAATATTACATTTAATCCTCACACTTAAGTAATTGATAAAGATTGAGAACGGCTAGGGCACAGATTCTTGCACACCCATCTAGTCAGTTAGCCAAGCTGAATATTACCCTTGATTCCTGTTTTTTCAATCCATGCCACTATATTCCCCCAAATGGTATGCGCTCTAATTCAGTTTACCAACCTCTTGTGTGGAACATAGTGACAAGCCTTTTAAAATCTAAGTATGCCACATTCATCCATTCTGCAAATTACATACTCAAAACAAAACTCCCCTTTCGTAAGTCCAATGGCATCGCCTAATCCTACTATTATTTTTTAAATTGTCCTGATCTCGCATCATTTATTACAGATTCTAGTGTTTTTCATACAGCTAATATTAACGTAAGTGGACTATTCCACACAACAGAAATTTGAGAAATAATCAATGTTGCCACTCATGAAAGTTACCTCTTTCAACACTGGGATGTAGATTATACATTCCAGAGAATTTATCCACTTCAAGTCCTCATCGCTAATATTTTTTTTAAAAAAAATTAACATCACAGGTCTTCTTTTATACTTGCCAATGATTCTCCAGGTTTCAGGTATTTTCCTCCATGAAGACAGACTTGGAAGTACGGGTTCAGTGTCTCTGCAATTCACTTCTTCCCCCTTATTAATTGGTTTTTTAAAAAAAATACCTATAGAAGCTTTCCTCTCTAGCATATTCTCTCACTGCTCACCCTTAATCTTTTGCTTGGTTTCCCACTGTAGAATCCTAAAAGGCTCCCAACTGTTAGATGCAGCGGTTTTGTCAGCAGCTTTATAGGCCTTTGCCATGCGTTTTCAGAAAATAATCTAAAGATAAATCACTCATCACACAAAGAAGATACTGGCTTGCAGGATCAAGGAAAGGAGATACTGAAAAAGGGAGAAGGTTGGAAGAAAGGAGGAAATCCCTGAACACGGACAGAATCAATGGTAATCCACCTTCCTCCAAAACTACAAATTGAGTCGACCGTTCTTCTCCCACCCTTTTCAAATAGAGTTCAATATTTTAAAATATAGAATATAAAAAAAAACTTAGCAACTTCAAATGTTGAACACTTTACAGAACAGATGTCAAGTCATTTCACTGCATCTTTAAACACACAAAATTGATGCATTACAGAGGTCCAATCAATTGGATTTCTTTTAAAAACGTTGATTCCAGAAGCATTTTTATTAATAGGTAGAAAGTTGTCCAGGAGACACAGCCATTGTGTTCATCTGGCAACCTTCATTACATGCAGCTTAAACAAAATTGTGCTAAGCTATGCAGTTTATGGAGGTTACTTAAATTATAGGTTGAAAATCAGAATTTTCACCACACGTATTCAGTATGAAGACAAGATACAATAATCAGAATGTCACGTGTTCAAATGGAGCATTCAATATCCAATTCCAGTTGCTACATTTTATCCAAGTTGGATGAACTTCAGTAAACAGGGTTCTCTGTAACACTTTATGGTTGATTAAAAGCAACAAGAGATCTTTGGGCAAGGTTCTTTAATCAGTTTCCAAAAAGCCAAGTTTATACAAAAAAATTGTTTCATCCTTGCACGAAATACAGCATGAACAAATGGCCAACTTTACCAGTATATAATTTTTCAAAAACAAACCTCCTACATTAGATTGAAAATGAATGTTTTTCTGTAAATTGTATATTAACAGACTCAAATGCGAAATACTCAAGATCCAGCAGTTTGAACATTCCACTACAAGTTACTTTCTAATGACAAGCAGAATGACTGAATGCTGATTTACCATCAGGAAATCAATCTGCATATAATTGTATTTCAAAATAAGCTTGAAAAAGTCAATACTCTGCAGCATGCACAGCTTTTGTGATCTAGCTCAAATTGGTGTTTATTTTTGTGGCCAGCAGAGGGGAGAGATAAAGAGAAATATCAAAATACTGCAAAAAAAAAAACAAACTGCAGGACTAAGAGCAAAACTGATTGAGGATTTCAACAAGATAAAAGTTAGACCGAGTCTGTTCTTTACAGACCTGAAAGTGAAAACCTTTTAAAATAAATAGGCTGAATAGGTCTTTTTTGACCTAAAAGTAAATGCACATTCAAGTCAGAAGCTATCAGACTGTCAATAATTTTGATAATATTAAAACAGACAAGTTCAGAAGACAACTGCTTTCTGTAGTTCCAAAACTCAAGGGCCAAAAGGAGGATGATCTTGATTCAAGGAGATTGATTATTCATTTGTAGCTGGAGGAGGAGAAGCAGGCACAATGTAAAGAATTTGTAATACATTTTCAATTCAGCTTCTCCACATACTATCAGTTTGTAACAATAGCAACTGATTGGCACACACTTCCCTTCTTTAATACCATTCATTTTAAAGTATAAAATGCATAATGTGCTATTACCAGTAAAGCACAAACTTAAATAGATTCAAAACAAGCAACTGGGTAGGCAGCTCAAGATTCCAATTCCAAATTAGGGTTCTATTTCAACTGACAAGATTTTATGTTTGCCGAAACATTGGATGAACATTTCATTCCAAGTTCTTTTTTATGTGGGGTTACAGATCAAAAAGTCAAAACGGGTGAAAGGAGGTAAAGAAAGCAAGCTAGCACCCACCTCTTAATACTTGATAGAGGGCCACAATGGTACTAAGCCAATTTCCACAACCAAGATAATTTCCTTTCATTACAGTGAAGTTGTAGACAGAAATGTATGTAGACAGAAACTGAGATACCAAGAGAAACATCAAAGCTGAATGATCTCCAATAGTGTTGCTTACAGAAAAACAGGGCGAAGAAAATGCCTTTTACAGCTCATTAGCGATGCCATAGGTTAAGTATGGATAATCTAGAGCTTCTGGACCTTGGTCTAGTTGTAGAGGTGTTAGTGCCGCAGCAATAACAATGCCCGTATAAAAAAAAAGTTTGCAACATGCTTTGCTGTTTATATACAGGTAGTTCATTGATAGGACTGGTAGACCCATTCCTAAAGCACCATGAAACATAATGCAGAAAAGATTTCACAGAAGTCATTTTCCTCTCCCTTCAAATTACTGCTGACTGAAGAGCACATGATAAACATTGTAGGAGTTTCAGCCACTAATGGCTGAAGATGTGGTCTCAAATGTAATTCACAAGAAAATAATGCTTTAATTCTGTCATCTAGACAAGCAATACGTTCATAATAATTTCTTCAGCCCCAGAGGACAGTTGAAAACTAAAATTGCATGTAAATTTCAAGCTGAGCCGAGACAATTTTCTGAACTTGTGCTATTTAGCTTACAAAGTGCAGGAAGATTATTCTAGGCAAGTGAGCCAAGCATTTTTTCCCTTGCAAATAGGAGTGCTCCATTTAGCCAGTTGTTAGAATTGAACTTAAATGACCAAATAGAAAACAAGATAATGGAAAATTTAAATCCATAAAATCCCAATTATCAAATCTACATTTTAGATTTCACATTTTGAATCTAAAGTAAGTCTGTTGAGTCAATCCGTTACATAATCACAAGCTCATTATAAACATTTTATTCAAAAGACTGAAGTCTTACTATTTAGACATGAAATTTTTATAAAATAGGTGTATGAATGAAAAGTTCTGAAAATGAAATATTGCTGTATAAAACTAAATTACAATAACATGAAATACAATTCAAAACAAATCCAACTGTTGCTCACACCAGCTGAATTGACATCTCTTCCTCATTTAATCCACTATAGCCTTTTAGAAATAGTGTCCTTTCTCTCCATCTTGGCTTCCATTTCCAATTTAGAGGAAAGAATACAGTTCAAAAATATTGTCATTAGCAGGAGAGGTTGAGCCAGAGCTTTTCAGCTGCTTAAATCTCAAAGTCTCATGAATTGACTGTTGTGGTAATCAAAATCCCCAGAGTAAAACATGCCCAAAGACCAGACGTTGAATATAGCGTTATCTTACAGGATAATTCTTTGCCCCCACCCCCAAAATAAAACTAACTGCTATATTTTAATTTCAATACTGAATTTTATCAACCTGTTTTATCACTCACTGGTATAAAGGCTTACAGTAAACTTGCTGTACTTAAACTGAAGTTCATGTCAAGACATTATTACTGCAGTTAAAATTCAAAACTGTAAGCACGTGAAAAAGGGACCTACAACTCCAGATTTGCCCACTTACTTCCAAGTAAGACTTTATGAAAGCTTGAACTTCATTATACAGAAAACTACACAATGGCTTTACGAGCAATCTCAAATGACAGTTGGCATAATTTTTTCCAATAGGATATAATGCTCAATGTCCTACAAAAGATGAGGCTCCTAGACTGATGAACAATGATTTTTTAAAAAAAAATACATGATTAAATGGGTCAGTTACATGGCAAACTATCTTAAGCTTAATGATTTTCCACCTTCCAGTACCCATGCACGTACTTACCATAACTGTCATAATCATCTCGGTATGACCTTCCAACTGAGCTGTTATAGCCATAGCTGCTAGAATTTTGACTCCTGAAATAAGAATAAGGAATTTACCAAAATGTATTACAAAACAGACCTACCGAAAAGTGGCAAAGCAATATATTTACCTATTATAGTAGTCATTTCCGTAACTGCTTCGCCCACTTCTGTCACCATCTATTGAAAGATTCAGCAAGTTAGCCTTTAGGAGTGTTGAAGCAGGTTGAAAGTAGTAATTTAGCATCTTACTCATTTGAAAATCTTCTTACTATACACATGATTTAATATAGCTCTTAATGGTGGGTGAAACAACACTGACCCGCGATATGCTTATCTCCCAGACTTTCCCTCCACTGTACAGAATGTATTGTACTCTAATGTACACTGTACATTAGGGACAGCATGGTGGCACAATGGTTAGCACTGTTGCCTCACAGTACCAGGGACGTGGGTTTGATTCCTCGGCCAACTTTCTGTTTAGAGTTTGCACATTCGCCATGTGTCTGCATGGGTTTCCTCCCATAGTCCAAAGATGTGCAGGTCAGAGTTGGCTATGCTAAATTGCCCATAGTGTCTAGAGTGGGAAATACAGGGACTGGGTGGGGGTAGGGACTAGGTGGGATGCTCTTTATAGGGTCAGTGTGGACACAATGGGCCAAATGGCCTACTTCCACACTGTAGGGATTCTATGAATACCATTAGCAATTATTATTACATTCATAAGTCAGCAAAACCAGTTTCCACCATTATAGATCACCTCTGTAAAATCCACGGTTGCTTCTCCCGCCACGGAATCCATAACCTCGCGACTGCCCACTTTGATAATTCCTAGATCGTCCTCCAGAGCCTTTTCCTGCCTGGTCTACTCGAATTTGTCGACCATCAACGGACTGAAAGTGAGAAAAGAAACAAACAGACGAATCGTCATAGTTGAGTGGTACTGATTATTTAGACCGATTATAAATTGCAATACTTAAGTTTGTTTTAATGTTGAACTCAAAATGAAGTTCTTTTACTCAAGTAAATCTGTTTCTTAATCTAAGCAGAGAGTGATAGAAGAAATTTATAATCAAATGTAAACCAAAAGATATCCCAAGTGGCTTGAGACACTATTCATTAAGTTACCCAAGAAAACTAAAGTAACTGCATGCAAACATTTCAAATACAAGTTTAATAAACAAGTCAACTCATCCTATCATGATTTCCGAAAACAGCTGAAAAAGATACAACACATTTGAAGCACAAACAAAAACACAAATTTCTGGAAAAGCTCAGCGGGTCCGGCAGCTTCTATGAAGAGAAATCAAAGTTAACATTTTGGGTCCAGTGACCCTTTTTCAGAACCTACTAAAGAGTCACCTGAAACATTAATTCTGATTTCTCTGCACAGATGCCGCCAAACCTGTTGAGCTTTTCCAGAAGATTGTTTTTGTTTCTGATTTCCAGCATCCGCAGTTCTTTTAGCTTTACATTTAAAGCAGAAATTGGTTTAATGCAATCTGGATGTTGACTTGTAACATGAACAAGAGAGAGAGAATATTTAAGCAAGTAAAATTTTCACCACAATCTATAAAGTAATTCAAAGGCAATTACGCAAACTTCAGAGACTAAGGATCTCTGTTGCCAGAAGGTAGGACACTAAAATAATTTAATATCTGGGTGGCAAATAAAGATGAGGAAGGGGAGTGTAGGCAGCAGCAGCAGTCCACGCAGGAAACACCTTGCAGTTTTAAAGGTTAACATGGCTCAAAGTGTTATGCAGCATCCCAAGTTCAGTCTTTGGGAGCAATGTCAAGTTCTAGACAAGCTAGGGACAGTTCATCCCAATTGCGACTGCACACTTGAGCCTATCCCTTTCCGAGTCTGATGCGTGGTGTTTGGTCTTAGTATAGGCTTTGGATAAATCTCCATGTTTACTATCAATGTTACATTTCAGGAACACTCCTGCAACTTTTGGTGATAAACGTCAAATTTTTTTTCAAATGCCTAGATCCCGAGAGGAGGGCTCTGAACAGCTGAGTAGGTTCACAGTGCCAGGCCACATGTAGTGAGGAAACGGTGTATCATATTTAGTTAACGCTGTCTTCATTTGCAGCATCTATTTAGTTGAAAGGACCACTTCCGACATATGGCATTCCAAGCTGAGAGCAATAGCAGCCCTGTTGGTGGCCCTACTTGATGACCTGACCAAGGCGGCCATTAATAGGTCTAGGCAGCAGATTTGGAGGTAGGTCGTAGTGCCCAACTTCAGCCCCTCTTCTGTGGTTACATCCACACTCGGGTTTCTAGGATGAGGGAGCATACAGAGTCTACCAGCATGGCATAGATGTTGCAGTGGATATGTCACCCATCATCCCCAGAAATGTTTTATTCCAGTACAAGTTTGTTAACATTTTCAGCTTTTGTGTTAGTTGGCCCACTGGAGGCTAAGCTGTTATTGCTTACTTGAGGAAGAGTAGAAAATGGACTATCAGATGTTTCAAGTGAAGGGGGGGAATACATTAGTGCATTGCATATCCAAAATGGTTCAATCCATACATAATAAACACTCACAGAATCAGATTTATTTTCAGGTATTAAAAAGTTTGCAGAGAGAACAAACTTATAGGACTTGAAGAATCAGAGACCCTACAAGATATCACAGATCAAGTAATGTTGAAGTTTGGAACTTGGATCGAGTATGAACATCAAAAAGACAAATGCAGTAAGTGGATGGTGTCATACTAGATTTTGTAAATAACTGTTTATTTAGCAGAAGTAATAGGCAAACACAAGACAGCCAGTAGTGACTTTTATGAAGGGTGCATTAACAAGAAAACTCAAGCTTATAACAAGACATGTGCCTTCTATCAATTTTCTTGTATGCTTAAACCTGGACAATAAGTAAATATCTGTAGGGTAAAGAATAAAAATTAAATACATAGTCCATTAGATAACTAGTGAGGCATTTGAAATTCCAAGAGGAAAACATGCAAAGAATTGACATCCAGAAAGGTCAGTCTTTTGATGATAGCCAAGAGATATCGTCTGCTGGGTGATGCGTGCACACACGCGCACAGGAGTCAACATAGGCAGAGTTGGATTACAAATGTCACCATAGTTGCAAATAAGTTAGTGGATGTGCAAGGATTGTGCAAGATAGATGAGCTTGGCATACCAGGTGTACCAACAAGCAGCAGAGAACAATCTGCAAACATCAGGCTAGCCAAACTGTAGATAATTAGCCCACCAGTCTAACTTAGATTTTCAACCAGTAACAAAGCAAAGAAACCAAGTTAATTTAAAGCCATTAACACTTACAGTACAAGAGGCTCTCTCATTATTTAAGCATACCCCAAATGAAAAGCTTCATTTATTTGAAGAAATGACTACTATCTAACCTTCTAAAAAAAAAGCCTCATCTAGAAATGTATACCTTTCCATTCATGGCCAAGGCATCTCTTGCATCATCAGGATTTTCAAAAGTAACAAAACCAAATCCTCTGGATTTCTGTGTCTCTTTATCTTTGATCACAAGGACTAAAAATGGGCAAGAAAGACAAAAGCATCAGAATTACATATGCAGGTTAAAAATACATTCAGCCAGTACTTTTAAAAACTAGAAATGCAATTTAAAGGACCGAGTCTCAGGCAAGACTTGCGAACTGATCATTCAGAGTCAGAAACCATTTTCAGAAACAAACTTGGTGGCCTTCAGCAGGAGCACAAGAATTGTCAGCATTTAGTTTACAGCCAATTCACTACTCTCACCATTTGCTCATTCAAAACCACACCCAACTCCCTTGGAGTCAAGTCTGAATTACAGCACTGCTTCCCATAACAAATCCAATTCCATTTTTTTGTTTCACCCATAACCCTCCATCAATTTTGTAATTTTTTAAACTACCTCCCTTTTCATGATGATATCTAAGCACAATTTCAGGCTCCTGAAAATGCAACTACATCCCTGATATCCCATATGAAAATTTACTTAGCCAGTCCACCAGCCTAAAACATACATTTGGTTCCTTGTAGCACAACACATTGAATTTGAAATGAATGACACAATCCTTTGGATCTTCACTATTTAACTACCTCTATTTGTTCTACGTTCTTTGATATCTCATCTGAACACTTGTCTACAGACTTGCAAAAATATCGTCAGAAAACGCATCTCTTCAAGCATGTTCTGCCTCCCCTTCTAATATTGCTTCTCTTTTCCGTTCTGCTCCATCCCCCACAAAAGCCCCATCTAAAGCACTCTTAACTAGGTTCTACAGCATAAACAAGTCACTATTTTTCAGTTTTTAAAATTCATTCACACGATGTGGGCATCGTTGTCAGCTAGGCTAGCATTTACTGTCCATCAATTACCCAGAAGGGAGTTAAGTGTCAACCACATTACTGTGGATCTGAGCCCCATGTAGGCCACACCAGGTAAGGATGACAGTTTCCTTCCCTAAAGGATATTAATAAACCAGATGGGTTTTCTCGACAGTAGATGATGGCTTCATGATTACCATTACTCTTAATTCCAGACTTTTTACTAATTCAAATTTCACTATTTGGCCATGGCAGGATTCAAACCCAGGCACCAAACATTAGCTGGGTCCCTGGATTAATAATCTAGCAATAATACCACTAGACCATTTCCTACCTTAAATGTTTAATAAATTGAGAACACAGTCAAAGAGTACTCTAGGCATCTGACTAACTGCAATAGCTCTCAAGGAACTTTAAGCTAGACCCCAAAGTCCACTCCTGACTGACCTAGTAAACTCACTTCCTTTTTCAAAAAAACTTGGGATAGGAAGAAAACCATCTTCGACTGGATGAAAGTCGCAAAGGGGGAATTCAGATCCACAACCTCCTTCCTCAAAGACAATTATAACTGTTGGGTATCAATCCGAAATAACCGATTTTGGCACATGATTCCTCAATAGTGTCTACTTCTTCAAAGAAATTGAAATAGTTAACATCTCATCTTTTAAAATGCTGACAATCTTGTTGCCTCAGCACATTCAATGTTTCATACTCTTGTGCTTTTACCAACAAAACAGTCCATTTTGACAGTTCTATGATGGTCATCCCTCCTTCAACACTTCATTATTTTAGATAATATACCAAATACTGTCAACCAGTGGCAAAACTTTGAGAAATGGCCACATTAAAATTGCTTCAATCGAACATACCGTACACACAAGCGACTTACCATCACGAACTTCTCCGTACTTGGAAAATAACTGCTCCAGTGATTGCTCGTCTGTGTCAAAGTTGAGTCCACCAACAAAAAGTTTTCCTTCATCAGACATGGTGCTTTGAGAAAACACAGACCACGTAAGACTACAAAAATTATAATCTGAATAAAAAATACTGATTAAACTGTAATTTGCAAGGGAGAATCTCTGAAAGTTAATTTAATTGGAATGGGTCTTTTTTTCCTTTTAAAAGTTACTTTGGCAGGCCTGCTACAGGAAAGATATTGTTAAACTTGAAAGGGTTCAGACAATATTTACAAGGATGCTGCTGGAATTGGAAGGTTTCAGCTGTCGGGAAAGACTGAATAGGCTGGGACTTTAATTCCCTGGAGTGTCAGAGGCAGAGGGGTGACCTTACAGAGGTTTATAAAATATTGGAACGGGGTGGGGGGGGGGGGGTTCGGATAGGGTAAATAGCCAAGGTCTTTCTCCGAGGGTAGAGGCATCAAAAACTAGAGGGCATAGGTTTAAGGTAAGAGAAGAAAAGATTTAAAAGGGACCTAAGGGGCAACTTTTTCACACAAAGGATGACAGTGTTCAGGACAAGTTCCAGAGGTGGTGGATAGAATTGCAACATTTAAAAGGCATTTTAATAGGAAGGGTTTAGAGGGATTTGGGGCAAATGCTGGCAATGGGACTAAGGTCAGCTTCAGAGATCTGGTCAGCTCAGACGAGTTTGACCAAAGGGTCTGTTTCCATGCTGCATAACTCTGACTCTGATAGTCTCATCTCAATGCATTTAAATTTTTCCAGAAATGGGAGACATTAAATATTGGTAATGTTTCCAACTCCTGCAATTACTGTTGTAGTGGAAGGCCTATTGTAACATTTTTAAGAGACATACCAGTTTTTGCAATTAGCACAGCAGCAGAGTCAATTTTTGAAATTACCATGGCATTTATGAGGTGAGAAATTTCCAAAACACCATCAGCAAAGCAGTTCATGTCTCTCAGGGGGCAAAATGAAAACAGATGACTTGAGGTAGATCACTTTCACAAGCCAGTTTAATTTCAGAAAGATAAGAGATTTAAACTAAAAGAAAAATGCCTCTAAGAGGCTGTAGTTTGCAGATTTAATGATTTTGAATGTTTTAAATGGCAGCTGGGACAGGACCAAAAAGAGAGTATAAATGTTATTTACGTAACGATCAATTTAAAGGGAAATATTACTCAGCTAAAAAAAGGCAGGCGAATAGATTATACGTTTTATTACCATAGAAAAGTGGAAGTTACAACACATTAATAGTTCATATTAGTGAATTGCTACAATATGGAGCGCTCACATACAACGCCCACACTCAAACAGGAATTAGTTAATAAATGGTTCCAGAACCTCCCCCTCAAATGACGGAAGTTATTTCAGAATGTTCAAGAGATGGGAAAGTCCTCACGTCGTAAAAAGAAAGGTTGATCCGTATTTTTGGGAGACATTTTTGTGTAATCGGTGGGGTGGGAAGAAAAGGAGGGGAGCAGACAGAGTTTCCAACTGCGCCATAGAAGATGGAGACGGCTGAACATACCGCGAGAGCGGCGAGTCTTCAAGGAGCTGGAGGCGGCCCCGCCCGCGGCCGCCATTTTACCACCTCACCGCCATTTACACCCTCACCCCGGGGGAAATAAACTATTCGGAAAAACATAAGCCGAAACCAGACACTGCCTGGCTCCCCACCCGCAGCGGCGTTAAAACACCAGCTTTTGAAAAGGCTATTCACCTTCCGCCTCTTTTTTTTAAAAAAAAACTTCACCTCACGAGATGGGGCCCTGGCCTCTCAGAATACAAATATTTAACCAGCTCATGTTATCACTAAAGTCCTCCGGCAACACCTCACCGTCCTCTGCTTCCATCGAAGCACCTTAGGCGGTAACTTCACTCACCGTATATTGTCGACAAACGGCACACGAAGTCTTTTATTTTCCCGCTACGCCCTGCTTCTCACTCACCGCGAACCGAACAAGAAGACGGGTGGAGGGAGGAAGAGAAAAAAAACCACACTATTTCCTCAAAAGTGCGCAGGCGCAGCGTATTGACTTCCGAGCCTCTCGTCGTGATCGGACACAAACTCTCGACAGTGCGCATGCGCGACGCATTGATTTTTCCACCCTCTCCCTGTGACCAGGCCCGAACGCTCGGCAGTGCGCAGGCGTGGCAGACGGACGTTTTTTGAAATGAACCGTCATTTCTGTGCCCGATCTATTTTGGGGCTGCAGTGCGCAGGCGCAGTGAGGTTTTCTGTCAGGATTGTTTTCCCTGGTACCAGCAAAGCCCCTGGAAATATTCAACATGTCATTGCAGCATCTGTCAAAAGAACAAAATCAAGAGATAGTAGGAACTGCAGATGCTGGAGAATCTGAGATAACAAGGTGTAGAGCTGGATGAACACAGCAGGCCAAGCAGCACCATAGGAGCAGGAAGGCTGACGTTTCGGGCCTAGACCCTTCTTCAGAAATGATTTCTGA